CCTCTTGCTTGTGTGTGAATGATGACGTACTGTCAGTGATTACCTTCAACACAGTGGATGATTGGAATACTCTTTTATCATCATCTACTTTTCAAATTCTTTCATTTGCTGTCAGCTGCAAATTGAACTCCCATTAAGACCCCGTGTAAGACAACCCAGGAAAATAATTATTGTTGCTCATATTCTACCTAATTTATCAACAAACTTTATTTTCGTAGGCTTTACAATTCCCTTGAAACGTTTATTTTCTTCTTGAATTATCTGTCGTTGTGCTGTTTGAATTTTTTTGTGGAAGATTGGCCGCGCTAACCCTCTAGCGGTGTCAGATCTGATCCAACACTGGGAACTTATCTCTACACTTACCTTGTACGCGCGCCTAATTATGCACTTGGCCACCTGCAATATTACAGTGAATCCAGTAAGCGTTGAGTCTACTGCAAATAAGGTTTTGGATGTTGGGCAAAATTGATTTGCTAGATTTAGATTTCGATCGAAATGTAAAGGCGACGCCTTCACTTAGTTACATAATCTTTGCTGGCGTACGTAAAACACTGTATACTCTCTAGTTAAACAACATTCTTTTTCATTAAGTATTTGTTTTGCTCATGATAAAATTTATCTTTCATATATATATTTTAATTGGGCGACTGAGGCCGCGTGCTGTAACACTAAATTAATTCGATTTTCCGTATTCGTTCTTTCCATATATAATGGTACTCATGGCCCACAGAGTTTAAATGCACGAATACTCACTGTCTTACTCTTGCTGGCTGTAAGCCAATTTTTGCTTTGTGTGCTCCCAAATCACATGCCACGGCATTCTATCTGGCCCTTTTATTTTGTGTTATTAGGAGTAATCTTTTGCATTTTTTCATCTTTATAAGAGAGTAAGTGTACTAGCGTTCTAACCAGTCAGATTCGCACGTTCTTTACGTGTAACCAGCAGGCAAGTTATGGCTGCAACTTGAATTGTGCACACTTAGTGTAAGCTTACGTTTTTCAAGTTACTACTCATAATTTCACATATATTTTTTCTTCTGTTATCTTTAATACATCCCTTATTCAACAATTATTTAATAATTGCTAAGATGCCCCGCGTTCGTGTCGTTGCTATTTATCAAAAAAATTATTTGATCTAATTTAAATAGGGGAATTTTGTTTGCAACTCGAAATTAGTAGTTCTGCTCAAGCCACGTGTTAATCTGTTTTAAAATCACACTCCAACACAAAGACCCAATGCCCACACGAATATTTTTTGCTGAAGGATAACTTGTAT